CTCCAGCAGAAACCATGCCTTCGTCCACTGTATACACTTCCGTCCCTGAGGGGCCGCTGAAAAGTACTAATCGCTCCCCGCAAAGCTACGGCTCGGCCCGGTCGCGTCGGAAATCAAGTTGCGATGACTCATTATGCCCTCTTCCATTCGCATGCACTAATCTGTTTGTATTTACAGCTAAGGGATAAAACTGAAGCGAAATGCCTTCCCTTGAGCAAAATGTGTCCTTTACTAAGGCAAGCTGTTCTGTAGTTTCGAACGAATAATTCGGAAAAAAAATCTGGGAATTACTCGAGAGTCTGTGCCAGTGATATTAATCCAGACTATTGGAATCATGTATCAAGAGTTCAAGCCCAGAGCTCAAAAAGATCTGCTGTTGATCGTTTTTTTTGCCATGAAAGATCGAGATAAGTCTCGGCCCAGCATCCCACAGGTAGAGATCGAAGACGGAAACCAAAGTTCGAGAGACAATTCAAGGTACAATTCGGACTTACGGACAGCAGGCTAATTTACTTTCGAAAATGAATTATACAACATACAAACATATACATTACACACTTGACAACAAGAATGTCGAGTATGCCAAATCTGTCCAAGCAATCACTGCGGCGGGTACCACATGTTAGTAATGTTACTCGAATGCTTTTAATGCGGCTACCGCAAACCGGTATTTTGGGTTTTTGGTGTATTGTTGGAAAACGCGGTGAAGATGGATGTGAGACTGACCGTGTGCTTAGCAGCCTTGATCAGTTGTCGTCTCACTGAAGTGCGCTGTAACATTCTTTGCGTTACTGCTCCTTGATTGTCATGCATAAAGCTGTCTTGCTGGTGTTTTTAAGCTTTTTAATTATTGGAAATTTTTTTTTTTAATTGGCGAGGTCGCCTAAGATTGGCAGCGCTCAGGCTGGTACAGCAAGGTGCTTCTGTTCGATGGTCTGTTGAACTGGTATTCAGTCACAAGATAAAACAAATGTTAGGGCTGTCAACAGACCACAGTATCTGTCAAAAGAGCTGGAAGAATTGCTAAGTGTTTTCTCCACGTGCTGGCGATTTTCGAAAAAAAAACTTCGATTTTATTTACTTCGATTATTTACTTCGATCTATAAGCATAAGCAGTTTGATATTGCCAGACTAGAACGCTCCGTTCTCAGATTTTGCTTCAGGAACCGATCAGTACTGA